CTGCTGAACCTCAGCCTCCAGGAGCCTGCAGCTGGAGACCCTGTGCCCATTGTGCATGCCCCAGGTGGCCCTGCTTTGACGTTGGAGTCGTACCTGCTACAGCTCGCCAGACACTCTGGACGCTGGGGTGTCCATTTGCACATAGCAGAGCCCACAGCCCTTCGGCCATCCCTGGCCATGCTGGCCCACCTCTCCACCCTTGGCCACCTTGCTCGGCCTGTGTGGGTTGGGGCCACAGTTTCCCATGGGAGTTTTGCAGTCCCTGGCCACGTGACCGGCAAGGAGTTGCTTACTGCTGTGGCTGAGGTTTTCCCCCACGTGACAGTGGTACCAGGCTGGCCTGAGGAAGTGCTGGGCAGTGGCTATGGGGAACAGCTGCTCACGGATATGCTGGCGCTGTGCCAGGGACTCTGGCAACCTGTGTCCTTCCAGCTGCAGGCTGAGCCACTGGGCCAGAGCATGGATGGAGTTGTGGCCAGGCTACTGGCAGCCTCCCCAAGGACCACTGTCATAGTGGAACACAGCATGGCAGGGGGCAACTATGCATCTGTGCAGAAAGTGCTGCTGGCGACCAGGGCCGTGGACAGGACCCGGGTTTACTATAGGCTATCCCAGAGTTATCGCAGAGACTTGCTGGCAGATATAGGCAGAAACTGACCACCCAGTGGTGCTGGACTAGAGGACCCTTGATTCAAGGCTTCCCACGGGGGAGGCAGGAAGAAATAAATGCCTCCGCCTTTCTCAATATACCGCATGTGTGTCCTTGGCAGGATGGAGTGGGAGCGACGTAGTCACTGAAGCTGCCTAAAGGGTCTGGAGGCTGGGGGCCAGATCATTCCGGTTGTCCAAAAGGAACTCCTCACAGGCCTTGAAGGTGTTATAGAACTCAGAGGAGAGGCCGGCCACATTGGTGGTCAGGTAGTTGAGAAAGCCGGAGGTGGCCTGATTGTAGTAGGATACCTGCAGGACAGGAAGTCACACTCAGGGAAGCTGGGCTGGAGAGGAGGTAAGTGCCAAGTGGACATGAAGCAGTGGGAAGTCAGCCTTGCTTGCCTGCTGGGAGGGCAGCAGCCTGGGGTCTTAGAAAGCTACACGATTGGCAGGCAATACCTCCTTCAGCCAGTTTCCCGACCCCTCCCTTTGGATGCTGACAATCTTAGCTTCCTCTGTCAGAACACACTGAACTGTCATCGTGTTTCTCCCCTGCCAGCCAGGAGACCCTGGAGGACAAAGACTGGGTCTCCAGAGCCCAGCACAGAAACCTGTTTGAACAAAGGTGTTTTAGGGCCTTAGAGACAAGTTCGAACAAAGCCCAGGGATCATCCTGAAAAGCTCGTCAGTTGAGTGTATTATCTGGGTAAGTCCAGGGCCCTAGCAGCAGCTGTGAGCCAAAAGTCGCTGCAGAGCCTCATCCTCACTCGCTCTCAGCTTGCCTTCCCCACATAGTGTGATGGGCCCTGGGAACTATATAAAGCCTTCTTAGACAAGAAAGGGTATATAAGTAAATGAGATGAATTTTAGATCAGAACCCAGGCCTTCTGCCCTCAGTGTCCAAAGCTTTTTCCAAGACCCGGCAGTGGCCTTGGACTTATCTCTGCATAGGATCTTAAGGCTCACTTTCAGCCTGAGACTCAGGTTCCCCAAAGCTGGAAGGAGAGCTGGCTGGTAGGGTTGGGGGCCTGGGGATGGAACTGTTAGCCAGGCAACACTGAGCTCTGTAAATGCACGTGGATTTGGGCTGGATCCAGATGGGAGGTGGAAAGGGCACACGACCTCACCTTGGTCAACTGGTCTCCCTCACGCCAGAAGCAGAAGCCTGAGCAGAGAGTTTCCCCACGCCTATACTCTGGCATCTCACGGTGAGTGGGCAGTGTAACCGACCTCAGTGCAATGACATAGGGGTCCCTGGAGTGGAAGAACGGCAGGAAGGGGCACAGAAGGAGAAAGTGAGTGACTTTCTTGCCCAGCCCAGGCTCCAGAACACCCCCCAGCACTGACCCAGGTTTGGAGACGCCCTTGGCACTGGCATCAGAGTCTAAGGCACATAAAATCTTAAAGGCCCAACTCCTGGCTCTGGGTCAGGCTGGAGAGAGGAGGCCCCTGTGTGTTAGCAGCATTGAATTTGCCAGAAACCAGCATGACTTCACTGGGGATTTTCTGGAAAATCTTCCACGGCAGATGCTAGGGAAGAAGCAGTGGGCTTTAGAATTTCCATGCTTCATCTTTCTGTGCCTGTCTCTAGCAAAAGTGAGGCCGTCTGTCCTAGCTTCCTGACTGGCACAGCTGGCAGACCTGCCACCCAATATGGGGCTTTTAGAGGATGGAGGCCAAGGAGGTGCCATATAAGAAATGGCCTTGCCACTCCAGGGACAGATCATGCTGCTTTAGAGCATAAGTGATCAGTGGGGAGGTGAGTTCCTTTGTCCCCCATTTTACCCGTAGTATAACCACAGCAGCCCAGAAAAGCCAAGTGGTGCCTGGGGTCCCACAGCCAAAAACTAGAGCACTGACTCAGCTGATGTCCTCCCTGGGGAGCCCTGCCCACCTTCCACCCCAGCAGTCAAGCACCTACCCATTGTCACAAGGCTTCCGCCAGGAGGCCAGGATCACAAAGTCCTGGGGCTTGGCATCACCGCAGAGGGCAGAGGTGATGACGTGGTAGATGGCATCATCCTCATCCACCTGCTGCACTAGCTCCACACTCCTGTTGGGAGGCCCAGAGCTCAGAGCCCAAGGGTGTCATGCTGGCTCCTTGTGTGAGAGCCATGTCTGGCTCAGCCTTCCATGCCTCAGCCTACCTGAACAGATACCTAGGGAACAGTTCAGCCCCTACACTGCAGCAGGACC